TGTTGAGTCTGCTGAACGCAGCCTTTAATAAAAGGTTGCAACACTTTTTAATTCGATGGTTTTCGGAACGCGCAAAAATTTCTTTTATTAACTGAGTGTACATGGATTATCACCTCTCTTCTCTTTCTCTTTAATGTCTAATTGTATATATCCATCTTATTCTAAGTGCAGAAAGCACGACGCAATGTAATTATAGAACTATCTATTACTGCATCTGTCAGCGACAAGATACCATTATATCTCGGAATTTCTAAATAGGAGAGCAATCCTTGACGAAAATAAAAATCGGAGCATAAAAGTCGAATAGGGAAAAGTAACAATAAGATCGTAAACGAAGCTCCTAGGAAACGAAATGTAAGAGGCATTTAAGTAAGCTTTTTTTACCTTTCAATCCTAATTTTCGTCTTCTAGAAGCTTCCATCACTCGATCTCTCTTTAGATAGTTCCAGTCAGTTTAGTACAGTCTAATGCAGGAAGAATGGACGAATCCAACGATTTGGAAATTGCGGGATTTGTGTTGTAACATCCGTGAATCTTGGGGCCTTGGGCAAGCCGGAAGTATACGGTTCTCGAGTCAACTTTGTTGTTAATCGAAGTTTTCCGTAAATTTTTCCTCATTGCGTGCCCATTTTCTTCCACCGATCAGTTAATTAAAAATTGCGAGAATATTTATCGTCTAGAAATCAAAACTGAAGAAACGAAGAGCAGTTTCATTTAAGCTGACATCCTACAGTCCGCAATCGACCATCTTTGTAACAACTCTCTCTCTTTACAACTCTGCCGTCTCTGCCACACTCGCGAAGATCTTTGAAGCGTTGCTCCGCATTGTCGCTTTTCGTCGAATTATTTGCATCTTCGTCGTTCGGAAAAATCGTGCTAGAGCATCATGCCAAAGAATAAAGGTAAGTGCAATCTCGATTCTATCCTGCGTCTTGAATCCTCGAATTTTCAATTGTCGCATTTTGCGAATTCACTAATGTGGTTAAGTTAACTTAACCTAATTCGCGTCAACGTCATCCTCGAGGCGACTCAAGTCTCAAGTATTTTCACCCTTTCGCGAGACTCGCTGAAAACATTATCACGCGAGCTATGCTCTGTCCGCAGGAAAGGGAGGTAAAAATAGGAGAAGAGGAAAGAATGAGAACGAGACTGAAAAGAGAGAGCTGGTGTTCAAGGAAGATGGACAAGGTGAGAGGGAAACATGGTGCGAATGACGCGACGTCTTCTCGGGAATGAGTGTCGATGATTTATTCGATGTTTGTTTTGCGCAGAATACGCTCAAGTGACAAAAATGCTGGGCAACGGTAGGTTAGAAGCCATGTGTTTCGATGGGGTCAAACGATTGTGCCACATTCGAGGCAAGCTGCGGAAGAAGGTGTGGATTAATCAAGGAGACATCATACTGATTGGACTGCGAGACTACCAGGACGCCAAGGCAGACGTTATATTAAAGTACACGTCTGATGAAGCACGTAACTTGAAGACTTACGGCGAATTCCCAGAAACTGGTAAGTAGTATTCTAGCACAAACGTTTTGCAATGGAAATTGCGGAGTGTAGTTTAGTAGACCTCGCAGAATTTTTGATTAAATTTTTAATCTTGATAATCTTATAAATTATCTTATAAGTTGTGAAATAAAATTTTTTATCGAAAAAATTTCTGTTTTATATATTTTCTAACATAAAATTTTCTCTTAGTGCGTATCAACGACACAGTGACCTTCGTGGAAGATGGATTCGATGAAGACATCGAATTTGGGGATGAAATTAGTGACGATGATGAAGATGATGTTGACAATGTAAGTTTTTATATACTTACTTTTTAAAATTGTATGTATATTCTATCTGTTTATATTATATTATAATTTGTTTATATTATAATTTTTTAGCTTTTCTACACTTGTTTTATATGCAATAGCAATTAAAAAGTTTAGTCTATATTTTTCTCTTTATTTTTTTATATTTAGTTTTATTTTTTTAGTATAGGTAGTAAAAACTGAATAGTGTTACATTCAGCATGTGATATACCATTCTCCTTACAGATCTGATGACCCGCAGTTTAATAATAAAAACGGTACATCACAAGAATGTATATGGGGACATCTATTCATTTCAAAAATACAATTACACAACGTCAAAGTTTCCTTCTGTCGAGTAGCTCATCTCGCTGTATGTATCTACAAATAAATCATCTGTTTATGGATAACATCGTGTTCCAGTTTGAATAGTTGTTTTTAATATTTGTAAATTTTTATAGGAGCATAAATTCTTTCAAATAGCGAAATTACAAATATTTAGCATATTGAGTTAAATTTTGCGTACGCGTCAGATTAACGAGATCTACGTTTGTACATAATCAATATGCATGCCACCTTTATATGATCGTTTTTCTTTGTATATTTCCTTTTTATTTACGTCATATATTATCTGCCAATTTGTGAAATACACATATACATATATTATTATTAACTCAGAAAATGAAATATCACTATATATCACTCAGTAAGTACTCTTTTTATATGTTTGAATGTCTCTCATTAAAAATTACCTTTCAGGAAGCGAAGTAACGTACAATTAGACTTGTCAAATTTTGATGAGATTTTAGAACTACTACTAGTATAAATTGCTAAATTAATAAATTAAATATTAAATTAATAAAAAACGCATGAGAAGGAATAAGTTCTCTGTAACGTTCCTGTCTTAGCGTTCTTTTATTATAGTTTCAATCGGTTAACACATACGTTGTTAATAATATAGCTATTCAATACAACACGTAACGCGTGCCACATTTAATTCTTAGGACATGCGTTTTGTTATGTAATCAGTGCAATTGTTCAATGCATATTCTTCGTCGTAAAAGGAGATTACAGTGTGTGTTGCATTTCGATATTATTTGGTATTAGCAAAGGCGAAAATGTGCAAATTAATTATTTGTATCATTTTTATTTCGATAAAAAAATTCTGGGTAATATTGTTTAGATTCTAATGTAAAAGCGGAACAATAATTTGATTGTGAACTTGGACTTTTTTCATTAAATAAAATTGCGTATGTAAATGGAAGAAAATATATACTTACTTTCCCACATCTTTTCCCTGTAACGTATCGACTAGAAGATTTATACAGTATCTCTCTTTATAAAAAAAAGATTTATAATATGAAGAATGTATACTTACGTAAAATTGTCCTGTTTAGTTCATATCCGAAATATACTAGTTTTCTTTAAAAAAAAAATTTGATAGAATATTTGAAAACAGAATGTTGAATAGAATATTTGAAAACAATAAAAAATATTAGATCAGTTAGATGAAAGAAAAATATACACATAAAAATAGATACCGATTGATATTTATCGAATGTCCAAATATAAAATGAAAGAATGAGATAGGTGTCCTCTTTCCTTATCTTTCCATTGTAGAGGACATTGTAATTCTGATGCAACATTTTATTTATTATGCCGCTGATAGTTCTATCACATAATAGTATAGTAAATTATAGTCTCTTTCCTTTTTGATACCTTGACGCCATGCAATGCTATTGTAGTAATAGCTTAATGCCATTATAGTATTGAGGAGGGACATGTAATTAGTATAGGGGGAATATACTTGACTGTTTGACGTATTACGTTGTCCACAAAAATTAACTTGTACAAAAGTATGTGAGATATAAAGCATTAATTCGACTCTGGCACGTCAATGCTCCATTGATAAGTGGTGCAAATATTACATGTGTTTAGAACAATATTTTCGTATTACATTTGTCGGTAGCATTAAATACAAAGTATATTGCTATTGCACGTAGAACATATCGTTTCTATGTCACGTACGTAATATAACCACGTATAGCTGCACATATATCTGTATAATGATACGTACAAAATATTTTTCCCGGGAAATAAATCATGAAACATCGTTGATAGCGTTGAAGCACCAGCGTCGTGGTATTCGTAATGAATTATGTACCAAATGTGACGACAATACATGGGAGCATATTATTTTATTTTGATGCGCGTGTGTGATTGTGCCTTTGGTCCTTAGGTCAGATAGGCTCTAGGCAAGTCTATTAAACGTAGTATAACAGTCATTATAGATAATAATTTATAAACTTCAGATAGCATAATCATATCTTTCAATATATTATACATTAATAGAATAGCTTATTTAAATTTTGTTGTTCTTTTAAATATATTTATATATTATATGATTTTCCTTCCTTCCTCTTTGCGCTCATTAAAATTGTGTCGTACACTGAAAGCTAACATCGGCTTAGATATTAAAACGAATTCGCATCGCCCGGATTTTAGACAACATAATCCCTACATTATAACGAGTCTTTAGATGTTATTCCAGTTTACATTGGTTCACGTGAATGATAACGTTGACAATATAACCGCATCGAGCTTACAATTAACGAGCATGTAACATTTATTTAGGGACTCGCTATATAAATAAAATATTCCTGTTATAGCGCCTTACAATTATTACAATCCATAGTACACTTATTTATATATATATATATATATGAAAAAAAAAATATAATATATAATATATAATATATAATATATATATAAGTTATGCTAAGAAATTATCATATATACAATTAAAAATTGTTAGGAAATATCCTTTAAACAAGTTAAATTTATACATTATGTGTTCCGATGCATAAAAACATTTCTCACTGTTAATCAAATCAACACGGCCGGTGCGCACAATGGTCCGGTATCTCTCACGGCTCCTTTTTTTTTATTGTGCCAGAACTCGCGACTTGAATTGAATAACAATAAGAAATTTCCTTATTCCCGTTTTCAGAAACTTCGTCAAATGTCCACTGCCGAAAGTGTTAATGAAGAATATATATATGTATTGCCGATCTATTAAGCGATATATTGCGCGCGGATAGAGAGATAACCATTCTAAAGCTTAAACGGACTATTCTTGCGAGAATCTTTCTGATTTAGACGATCGCTGATATCAGCAGATCGCTCATTCGATCTTATCTTGTTGCGTTCTCGCTTTTTTCGCGTTTCTTCTCGACATGCCCCATCGTCTCCACACTTCATACTTTCTTTCCCTTCCATTTCGCATAATGTCTTCAAACAACACGAAAAAGCACATACATGGACGGGTTGGCATAGTGAAGACTAGCGCGAATCGGCTAGTCGGACTAGCAACGACATACGCAAATACATCATCATCATCATCATCATCATCATCATCATCATTATCGTCATCATTATTATTCATCTTCGATTGCGAGATTCCGACGAACGCAAAGAGATAAGGCAACCGAGCGGAACGGAAAGGCAAGCAAACTCGAAGCATAGGCCATGAGCGTGATAGTAAATCATTGTGCATGCTTTTGTGTGGTTTGAGAGAGATAGCACCCCGAAGGAGCGAACGTTTTTATGTGCCCCCGATCCTATCGTGATCGTAAATTCTTCGCTCGACGCCCAAGGACACGCCAAGTCCGAGGGCCATCGAAGTGCTTCCCTCCAAAGGTAAAGGATCAATAATCGACGAGGGGATCGATGTCGAGAACCCGACGGCGATTTCTTCTTCTTTCCTTATTGCAAATTCGAAGGGTGGAACATGCACGTTACTCCTAATGATCCTTCCTCTCCTCCGACATGAACGTGTCCATGATCTTCTGCATCGATTCCCGCAAATCGTCCGTGTCACCAGTTCCTGTAGATGATATCGTCCTCGTTTCCGTTCGCGTGGTTGTCGTTATACTGCAAGAGATGATTTTTTTTTAGATTACATTTATTTTTACGCAAGTTTTTTCAACTTTTCGATTTTTCCATGAGCTGTGATTATTGTATACAGCGCGAGGAAAAAGCGTTAAATAATTTTCGAAACGAACAGCGTCGTGACCGAGAGATAAAAGTAAAAAAATATCTGTTTTTGTCACTGTAAGAGACAATAATCAACGTATCTGTCCTTGATATATTAAAAAAAGAGAAAAAAGATCATAATTCATATGTACCTTTCCTGAGTGACAGGATCCACCTCGATCGTTGTCGTTTCCATGAAGGATGGCTCGCTATGTTGCAAAAAGTCAGATTCTGCGACAACAAATGAGAACAAATCAAACACCTGCTTTGTGCGCTTCACTGATGCGGCGGATTTTGCTATTTCGCTGCTGCGTGTTTTACATAGAAAACAATTACGAATCGTATATATATATGCATATATTTATATATACATATATATATTTATATATATTTCAATTTTACATCATGCCCAAAACAAGGGGGTAAAATACTAGACACATATAAAAAAAATTACAACACCGCTAAACATTTGACGATACATAATATAATATATATGTTATATGTATATAATAACGCATTTTCACCCAACTAGCCAAACTATATGCAACCGTTTTCCTCACGTGTGATCTCCCTCTGCACGTGGATCACGGCAAATATTATATCTCGCGTGATGTGTGTATATGTATATATTTTATATATAGTATATATATATATACACATACACTTAATTGTACAACTTTTATTGTGTCTACTACTCTTTTCTCGTGATGCTAATTACTTTTACACGTGTGCTACAAGCTGTAAGTCATCTCAAACTCGGCCGAATTCCTATGTATCAATTATGATTTAATATAGTGACTACGTATAGTGACTAATCACAGGGAATCTAATAAATCGTGGTACAATCGACGAAATGATTTCTCGCTTCATGTACGAAAAGATAAAAAGTAATTGTGTTACTGACATAATAATCCTAAATAGCAGTTTGATATATAGATCCAATTTCTTTTGGTACCAAGAAGTGTAATAGGACTTTTATAAAATCCTATTAGATGTAAACGGAAAAATGCTAATTAACAAAGACTGTGTTCCAAATTTACTGCCAGTGGTGAAAATTTATAGTTTACGTTACGTACCGTAGAGTCTCAGCACTGACAGTGAAATTTGGAATATAGCTAAAATTAAAAAAGGAACTGAATTAATTTTGATTTTACAACATAAGACAAACTTAGGATTTATTGACTCTTTGTGTTCACTTTTTGTACATAAGTAATCGTTCTGCTATTTAGGTTCGCTTGAAAAATCAGCTACGTTTCATAGGAAGACAGCACCGTTGTAATAGCGCTTAGAGATAAACGCTCGTTGATCTGTAGTTAATTAAGTACGACGATATTATTACTGAGTAATATTCGGAATACTTCTCAGTACGATTGTGCTGCGCGCAGCGAGCTCGTGTAAAGCGCTGATAAAAGCCGCTGAACAAAGCATTTAGCAGTTAGTCGTATATAAGAGATGTAGATACTCAACGTTCTCGATACAACAAAAGATTATACTACGGTAAAAACTGAAAGTGGTGTTTTCTTGACAATTTGGTAAATAAATCCGGATAGTATATTTATTTGGATAAAATTTGAAAATATGATATTGTAACAGAAACGAATTATTAATTCGAGATCTCAACAGCATTCGAAATGGAGCAACGATAACTCTGAAGATACAAGATCAAAAAGATTCTCCACTGTATAGATATTTTTCCACTATCGTACGCACGACGAAAATACACATCTTTCTCTGGTAAACAATGTTACCGAAATTAAAAAAGAGAAGTTATCAAATATCGATACGATTTTCATATGCGAGTCTACCGCCCTTTGGTTTTGACCGTAGTTTTGCACAAAACGCTCCATAAGATTTGGCAGCCATTTCATAGGAGCCCGTACTAACTACATTAGTTAGTATTGTTAGACGAACGGTCAAGTGTTGCTGGTGTATTATTGCGAATAATTTGGTGATACATTAATTCCTGATGCGAAAAATACGTTAATGTATATTCTCGCGGAGATTGTGACTTCTTCAGAGCGACGCTAAATCATTTTACTTAAGTCGATCTTCACGTCTGGCACGTCAAAATAAGAAATATATTGGACGAATTGGGAAACTCAAATGTTCAAGGATACTGAATCAATAAAGCACGCGTGGCATGCGCTAATCGACGCTTGGATATTGAATGACGCCATCGAAATGATTATTACGTTTACAGTTCGAACAGCAAACCGCTGATAAGAAGAACGATTACAGACTCAAGGGATGCGAAGAAGAAACATAAATATCGTCTGTCTCGGTTCTCCATCTGGGGATTGAAACCTGATGTAATTCCGGGGAGTCCGCCTTTCGATGCGTCGAAATGGTGCTGAAATCCAAACTCGCCGGAGTTATATCGGTTCTTAGTCCCTTTCGCACTGTCTTTCGACGTACGTTTGCAGTTCTGCGGGATCGGAAGGGTCGGATTCGGTGGTGGACTTGTTAAAAAGCCGCAGCATATCGATTGGTGCAACGCAACTTGCTGTCACTTTTGGTGCCTTTCGAGATGTAGCCATATGTGTACTCATCCGTATATTGATAGAATCCGAAACAAGCTGCATACCTTGTGCTTGCACACGTGTATAGACACGATACATATACATACGCTTAGACATTACTTACATGACGATTCGCCTAACAATCCTAACGTGACTAAAAAAACACGATTGTTGGTCCCTCTACACTTTAGCTTTATCTTGAGTTGCTTATTGTCAGAAGAGAGCTAGAGGGGTATTAGTGATCTATAGGATACTTGAAAGTAAAACAAAAAAGAAACAGGAAAAGGGAGAAAAAGAAAAAAGATAAAAACGGAAAACTAGAAATAAAGAGAGAGAGGAGAGTGGGAGCTTTTTGGTACGGCGAAGGTACATGCATGTAGGTATAAAACATATCTTTCTATTGAGTGGAGTGGTAAAATCATCGTGCCCCGATAACGGGGTAGTACGCAAAAGTAAAACAGCTACTACGGGCTAGATTTAGATTACGAAATACGATACAAAGATGCAGTCATGCGGGGGAGTGTCAATGTCAATATTCATGCAGGCCGTACTCCAGAAAAAAGAAAGCTTGCGGAACAAATTTCGTCGATCGCGGGAGTTTACCTGCCTTCTCGAGATAAACGATGACTTATCACACGTAATCGATATCGGTACAAAAGAGTGTTCCTTTGTGTGACAGAAGGTACTTCAGTTTTATAAATACCATTGATTGCGCGTTTTTCAATCTTCCTCACTATTCGCCGGAATTGTTAAGATCAACGCTGGCGTTCAATCGAAGTAAAATCTTCCTTATAAGTAGTTACGCAAATAAACTAACTTCGAAATCATTGCGATTGCAAGTGATTTGAAAAACGTACAAGTAGATTTCAGTATTATATACGAATATCACATTCGAATAAATATATCTGTTGACAAAGTTTTATGCATCATAGAACATTGTATACTTAATGTAATATTGATACAAGCCCTAAGCACACCTTGCATGACAATAATCAAAGATATCTATGAATTATGTACATTTTCTTCAAAAGTGACGCATTCAAAGCAATCATCTGATTAATGTGTATTATAACTTCAGAATTTCTTAATCTCTTCGCTTATAAAAGTACACAATCAAGTGAACTCGTAAGAATGATATATAATTGGTTATATCATTTTTTTAAGCAAATCAACAAGCATTGTTCAGGGAAAATTTGAATCGTGTCACTTTTGAAAATAAAATAAAATATTGAGTAACGATATTAGCAGTTCAGATTTCTATCGTGATAACCGTAAAAGCCTGGTTTTTAAAAAAGTTTAATATTATAAAATGGTATATATATTCTTTAATAAAAAAAATAAATAATGTGAAGGGTAATCGTACCCGGTTTGCCTCGGGACATTGTTAGACAGAGTGTAGATGAACATTTGTGGCTCCAGAGCAAGTATAAGTGCTATTAGAAGTATCAGCACAGCGACAGCTATGCTCGTCCAACACGCGCAGCTGGCTCTACCGGATGTCTTCATCCTAGTCTTCGGTTCTATCGTATTACCTGAGCAAATCGACCGTACCATACCGTGTGTTTCTGCCACTTAAAGATTATCAATTGCCATGAATTATGGTCGCATATGTGAATATATGATCAGTTGATTGATTGATTGATTAATTGATTGATTGATTGGCTGATTGATAGAATGATGGCTCCACCGCCATGTAATTAGTATGAGAAAGCCGAAAATAACAGGATAGTCACATTCTATCTCGAAAGTCAAAATCGAGATAAATTAATTTTATCATTATTAAACAGTATGCTTACGATTAAACTCTCGTAGATTCAAAAAATATTCCTGATATTTCAATTTATCACCAAATTAAGAAGCTTCGAAAGATAAACTCAAGATTTAATCGCGTAACTATTTTCATTGAATATTATGAGTAACGAAAATAATCTCATGCAATTTTTGGAAAAACTTCTGTGATCTAGTTCACATATTGTTTAGTATTAAATGACCAGATATATGCGTTAAATTTATATCCCATGACGATTTTTTTAAATGTTTGTTGTGATCGTTATATAATTTTTTTTTCAATCATTACAAATGCTCTGTTATTTCGTCAGCGCCATTTCGACAAAATCACGTAAAGTAACTTCGTTAAATCTTATTACATATCACCGAATACATGTACAATGCGCCGATGTGTGACAGATATACGTTTGATCGTTCAACGTGGCTGATCGCGAATGAAAGTATACTAGTCCCAGAAAGCCCCTGATCACAAACCTCTCTCCATCTTAGCCAAGACCAACGGAAAAACAAAAAAGAATGATGTTTTTATCGAACGTTTCCCAAACGAGAAGCAACACTTAGTCGACCACCATTAATCGTACATGTCACAATTCCTCGAAGCACGAAGAAGAATATACCGCATGTTTTATGACTGCAGATTTGTACGACTGCACTTCACAAACTTTATTTTTCCTTCCGGGTCATTACCCTTCTGTAAAAAGGTACGTACGACTCCATCGACATTGATCTTTGTGCAAAACATCACAGATCATGCAATTCCCAAGCAAACAATTCCCATTTTGTTCTTTGCAACCTCAAGTTTCAAGCAATAGAGAGTCAAAGATCCTTGTAATTAAAAATTAACGAAATTACGTTCCAAATTTTCGATTATTTCAAGCTCAAGAAAGGATTTTTTTGAAGTTTTAAAATCTACAGTACTTAATGTACTGCAAAGTATCATAAATAAATAAAAAGACTATATTAAAACTAAGAGAAAATTTCAAATGCAAATTGTAAATGAGCTAACAAAAGATCTTTGACTGTCTCCAAATCCAAATTTACATCCCTGGAACAATTGTACATCTGTGATACCTGTAACTTTAGGATTTGAGTGATCTCAATCGATCAACTTTATCGTTCCAAGGATGATCTTCATCGATCAAGTTCCACCACCCAATATTTATTCTTCTCATCGTGCAACTAGCGGGAAGTACAGGAAAATACATGGGAGTTGCATGCAAAGGTAGCAGGGATTCAACACTAAGGCTCAACGTGTAATAATCTATGTACAAATATAATATATCTTTTCTTTTCTTTCGGGCTCATTCGTTCACATAATCCAGGAGATAACCGATTAGCGAGGGAAAGTTCGAGGGGTATGTACATTGCTTATGCAGAAGGTTAGCTGTGAGAGTGCGGTACCTTGGTCGTCCTCCAACGGGGACAGCTCCGCACCTTCGTGCAGTGCTACATCCGACCCGCTGGAACTGCCCAACGTACGCCTCTTGCTCGGAGATCTTCTTCTAGGTTGCGGCGAACCATCACTATCGGTGTCGCTGTGCATATCGTGCCTTGAACTACCATCGTTCTTGTTGTTGTTATTGTTGTTGTTGCTGGCAAACGTGTCAACACCGCCGCCATTTCCAGAACCGGGTGATGTGTCTTGAGAATACTGCACCTCCCACTGTTCATTCGCCGCTGTCCAAGAGGCGGTCTCTCCGATTTCGGATCTCGTTAATTGTTCCTGAAGGCTTCTTAGAGCGGACTCCGCGTCCCCGTAGCCGCCGCCATCACTGCTGGAAGTTATTGTTCTCACCACCCTTTCGGTCTTCTCGATCTCCGACGTCTCCGACATCACGCGTTGCACCATCTGCACGACATCGTCAGACTCTGATTTGTCAGTCTTTATCGTAGTGGTAGAAGAGTCGCCGAAATCGAAGATCTCGCTGGGTAGCGTATTAGCGACTTGGTTTATCCTCTTGACAACCTCCTCACGCGTTACAGGTTGCAAAGTACTGTCCTCTGACGTCAAAGTCACAGTCCTCACCATCTCTACAATACCACCAGTCTCCAAAAGCTCCTTCAATTTCGTAGGATCGATCGACGAATCGTTGGTCACTGTAGTTGTCCGTATTTGCTTTACGGAGGGAATTATCTCCGTTTTGTCGCTTATCATAGTCTCGGTCAGATCGTCCATTTTGACTGTCTGGATCGCATCGCTCGGTACTTTTTTTTCCTCCTCTATCGTTTCTTTGATCAACTCCCCATCTGTATCCCCAGTAACGTATTTGACGGTTCGCGAAACCGCCTGTGGACCGATGATGTGATCTTCCGAGAACTTTAATGGGACGGATTCGGGATCGTCGTTCGATTTAGGCGCGTGAGGGTCGATTTTAAAAGGTATCTTGCTCTTTGGACTACTCTTGCTCGGTGACTGCATCTCCAGCGTTGGCTTGGAAGGCTGCTCGACCGTTTTATGTGTTCGTGAGGCATCACTAAGTTCCAGATGGAACTCGGGTTTGGTAGACGGCTTGGTGGTGGAGAGACGCGGGGCGGGAACAGGTTGTTTTGATGGAGCAGAAGTAGCATGCCTCTCTACAGTCCCATCAATCTCAGCCGAATCATGCCCTGACCCATCCAAAAGGACATGGACAAGAACAGGAACAAGGACATAAAGCACATTGATACACACTAAGAATTTTAACTCTAGCCCAGCTGCCAAAGTTAGACCGGAAAGATTCGGAGCGTGTCTGCCTTGCATACGCATGTGTACGCGCACATTACGCACTAATTAACGAAAGACTCGCGCTTGGTGCACGCACGCACGCATGTGGGGCATAGGAGAAGCGATCCCGAAGAGATGCATCTCGCGCATGACGTGTGCGCGTGCATTGTGGTTCTGCCCAATTATTTAGTTTTTTTTAGTTAGTATCAATATTGCAACCAGGATTAGTCTGTTTATTGAAAACGAAAGAGAATACACTCATTAAAAAACGGTGTCTGGTTGTGGCGCCTGAGTCTTACTAAAATGTACCATTATGGAAGTAGACGTCGAGAACATTCAGAACATTCCAATTTTTTTTTAAGATCACAATTAATTGAAAAAAGTAAAATCTAAACTATATTTCTTTGGCTTGTCTTTTTTCCCAGAGAGATCACTTTCTCGCCAATATGACGATATCACAATTTGCTGGACACGCTATACAACTGGCTAAACTACTCGATGAGTATATATTATATATAGATTAGTTTTTACGAGCAAATGAAAACTCTATTTCTTGTCTTCGACAATACAAAAAAGAGATCGGTAACTATTTAGTAAGACGTGCGCACAGTATCAATTAGTGTGAAAGCGTCGGCAGGTGCTAACTATGGAAGATAAAGCTAAATATAAATGAGGGCACCAAAAAACAAAGTCTTCTACCGTTACTGATCTTCGATCGGAGATGATGATCCGCGTATGTGAATTCTTTTACATTTTACTCGAGTCGATTTTACGTTACCTGTTTTCGTCGAGGTGTACGCCTGATCCGCCAAGTTTTGTGCTCGTCGTGCAGCCTCTTTGGTCACGTCTGAAAAGTTCATAGAGAAAAAAATTGAGTTTACATTGGGAATCGGCAAATACGACATTGAAAGCAATGATTCAACAAAGATTAGATGATGGATGATGTTTTTTTTTCTCTGCATGGCATACCTCGGTTCATGCTTCGCTAGTTGTGGTATTCCTGTTAATTTCAATGAGACATAATTACCGCATAATCGTAAATACGTGATCTCTATATGTTATATACGCTACAAACGAAAAAAAAAGAGACACGGTTGGGACGACAAAATAAGATTCCGGCGTTCAAGTAGTAATACTAGGAAAATTATCCATCGTGGTAAAAGAGACGTTTAAAAAATAGCGCAAAAAACCTGGAATCATGCATTAAATAGATGTTAACAAAATCGTTAAGACGTAACTGAAAATAATTGCAGCAAATAATTAAATGTAGTACATATAGGTATATCGTTTGTTCTATTCGATATTAATCAGATGTTTCTTTGAAGCTTCATATTATAACAAACTCTTCCTGATTTAGATTTCATCTTAAATACATATAATCATATAATTAAACACATCGTCTTATTCATGTAAAATTGGTTTTGATTAACAATATACCCATTCGATACACATGGAAACATAAAGAAAATTTAAAACAATACACAGAAAATTATAATAGGAACAAGCGGTAGTATGATTGTCTCGGATGTTGTCGATTGGTTCTACGGATTGTAAAATGATGAATTAATGGACTGAAAATGACTGAAAGATTAGAGTGTTAGGTTTCATTAATGACTGACGAAGGTGCATGAATGTATATATATGTATATATATTTTTTTCTTTTTTTGCTCTCTGATGTCACGAGAATAACTAGTAAAACTGAAGTTACAGAGAAGCGTCAACTTAATCATTAATCATGTTACACACAGCTGGTATATGTAATATATAATATATAGATATAGAAATGGATATAACGCAAGATTATTGCAAGATACCTTCGGTTCTACTGTCAGTGAACTCGGCGAGTGAACTGGGTGGCGGTGGGGTCGTTCGCACAGACTTTGTCACGATTGTGGTGACGGAGTGCCGTGTGCGAGGCTCGGGGTGCCCTACCGTGGTTACTGTCTCTACTACTCTACGCGAATTACCCGAATCGTCTGAGCCTGTCTCCTTACCCGGACTTTTCTTTTGTGGAATGCGAGATACTTTCTTAACGCTAACTGTCTCGGTTAAATGCTCGACGCCACCGGACGTCTCTGACCTGCCAGCTATATCGGATTTACGAACTACCTCCTGAGTACTCTCGCCTGTGCGTTTCGATCCTACTCTATCACCGTTTCTTTTTGTCGCTGGCGTTTCAGTTACTTTACCCGTTCTCTTAGTGATAGGCGAAGCTTTGCCCGTGCCTTTCGCGTCCACTGGTAATTGTGATTTCGGGGGACTCTTTCTTGTGGCTTTAACGGCACTGACAGATTTGTCCTTCGCATCAGTTGTAGATTTAGCGGATTTATCTTTCGCTTGAGCGAGATCGCCCTTAGTACGAGCTTCTTCCGCGGTTGCTTCCTGCTTGGTCTCTTTCAGGAAGTCCTTCATATCATCCGTTGCATCTTCTACTGCGTGTTTGGCGCTTTTCACCACGCCTGATAGAAAACTGCCTGTTTTTTGTTTGATCTTCTTAGTATCTTTCGCGGTTTTGTCCTTTACAGTCTCCACCGTACTCGTGACTGTATCTGTGCTAGTCGCCAATTTTCCTTTAACTACTCGTGTATCTTCTTTCACTTCGCTTACGACGGCATCTTTGGTGCGTTTAGTCTTCTGTGTCACATCTTGATCAGCAGACTTAACTTTACCCCCGGCTTGCGTCACACTATGCCCTATCTTACTTCCCGCCGCTTTCACAGTAGAGATCGTTTTGTCCTTCGCACCTTTTATATTGGAAAGACTCTTCTCTTTTGCGTCTTTTGTGTCTTTCACAACTTTACCCGTAGAGGTTTTAATTTCATTAACGACTTTATCCTTTGCTTTTTCCAGTTCTTTCGATCTTGCCATCGCGGCTTCTCTAGCAAATGCTTCATCAGCAGCTGCTTCTTGCCTGGTTACTTCCAGAAAGTCCTTCACGTCGTCGGAAATTTCCTTTCCTGTTTGCTTTGCACTCTGAATAACTCCAGACAGGAAATCTGAACTCGTATCCTTTGCCTTTTTAGCATCTTTCACAAGTTCATCTTTGGCTGCTTTGGCACCGTCAGCGACAGCATCGGCACTTGTTAATAATTTATCCTTCATCGCCTTTGTATCTTCTTTTATTTCTTTATCGAGACTTTCTCTGGCATCCCCTATACCATGTGCAATATCCATGGTTTTAGATTCTATTTTTTCACCAATCTTCTTTGTTTCAGTCGCTTGCTTATCAACTGCAATCTTCGTGGTGTCCGCTACTTGAGTCATCGTGTCAGAAATTTTATCTTTAGCGTCCTTAACATCAGCTACTACTTCTTTTGTAACATTCTTTGCACTATCAATAACATCTTTCTTATGTTCCAATTTCTTCACACCAACCGCTGCAATTTCTTTAGCATGAGCTTCTTCTAATTTCGCCTCGTACTTTGTCTCGTCCAGAAATTCTTTAACATCGTCCCTTGCGCTTCCAACAGCATGTTTCGCGCCTTTAACTATTCCCGAAAGAAAACTGGATCCCTTTTCTTTAGCTTTTTTCGCTTCTTTAGTTGCCTTATCCTTAGCTGCTTCAGCACCATGGGCCACAGTTTCAACTTCCCCAGCCAATTTCTCTTTCACCTTTTTTGTATCATCCTGTACTTCTTTGACAACTGCATCTTTGGTATCTGCAACTTTTTGTGCAACGTCCTGTGCTGTTGAATCCAATTTATCACCAACTTTCTTTATTTCTGCTGTCACTTTGTCTTTAGCAGCTTTACTTGCATCTGTAGTCTTCTGAATATCTTCCGAGACTTTTTCAATGACTTTTTCTTTTGTATCTTTCGCTGCAGTGACAGTCTTATCCTTAGTATCTTTTATTCCAGCAACAGCTTGATCAGTTGTATCTTTTACATCAGTAATGATAACATCCTTTTTATGTTCTAATTCTTTCAATCCAGCCGCTGCTGCTTCCTTAGCACGAGTTTTTTCCAGTTCTGCTTCTCGTTTTGTTTCATCTAGAAATTCTTTGACATCGTCTGCTGCGCTATCAACTGAATGCTTGGCACCTTTAAATATTCCCGATAAAAAACCGGATCCTTTTTCTTTAACTTTCTTCATATCTTTAATCGCTTTATCTTCAGCAATCTGGCTACCATCGGCTACAGCACCTATAGCAGATGACACTTTTTCTTTTACCAATTTTGTATCATCTTTCACTTCTATAGCCACTGCATCCTTAACATCTATAGTACCTTGTGCAACATCTTCCGCGGTTGTTTCTATTTTTTCACCCATTCTTTTCGTTTCTGTTATGACTTTCTCACCAACTGCTTTTGTGGTATCAGTAATTTTATGAATATCTTTGGAAATATCATCAGTAACTTTGTCCTTTTTATCTTTTATGGTAGAAACTGTTTTATCATTCGCATCTTTTACATCAGCGACAGTTTTGTCTATTACCTCCTGGACTTCGGCAATCGCAGAGTCTTTTTTGTCTTTTAAACTTTTGAGATCAGCATCCATTTCTTTCTCAGCGCGTTCTTTTTCTATAGAAGCTTCTCTTTTCGTTTCATCCAAGAATTCCTTGACGTCACCAGATGCATCTTCTACAGCATGTTTTGCACCTTTAAATATCCCAGAAAAAAAGCCACTTGTTTTTTCTTTCGTTTTCTTCGCTTTATCTTTTGCACTGTCCACAACTTCCGCGACAGAATCAGCGCTTGCTGTCAATTGTCCTTTTATTTTCCTTGTGTCTTTTTTCACTTCTTTAACTGCTGCATCTTTAATATCCTTGGCAGCTTGTGCAACACCTATCGCGGTTTCTTCTACTTTTTCATCGGTTTTTTTCGTTTCTGCTACTACTTTCTCGCCGGCTGTTTTCGTGCTATCGGCAACTTTCTGCACATCTTTGGAAATTTTTTCGACAATTTTATCCTTTTGATCTTTAACAACAGAAACTGCTTTATCCTTTGCATGTTTCGCATCCTCTGCTGCTTGTTCAATTTCAGCTGCTAATTTCTCCTTCATCTTTTTCGTATCATCCTGTACTTCTTTGACAACTGCATCTTTGGTATCTGCAACTTTTTGTGCAACGTCCTGTGCTGTTGAATCCAATTTATCACCAACTTTCTTTATTTTTGCTGTCACTTTGTCTTTAGCAGCTTTACTTGCATCTGTAGTCTTCTGAATATCTTCCGAGACTTTTTCAATGACTTTTTCTTTTGTATCTTTCGCTGCAGTGACAGTCTTATCCTTGATATCTTTTATTCCAGTAACAGCTTGATCAGTCGTATCTTTTATGTCAATAACAGCATCTTTTTTATGTTCTAATTCCTTCAATCCAGCCGCTGCTGCTTCCTTAGCACGAGCTTCTTCCAATTCTGCTTCGCGTTTCGTTTCATCTAGAAATTCTTTAACATCGTCCGTTGCGCTTTCAACAGAATGCTTGGCGCCTTTAAATATGCCTGACAGAAAACCGGATCCTTTTTCCTTTGTCTTCTTTGCTCCTTTAACTGCTTTATCCTTGACAGTCTCAGCACTTTCGGTCACAACTTCAACTCCAGCTGTCATTTTCTCTTTCATTATTTTGGTTTCATCTCTAGCTTCTTTAATGGCTGCGTCTTTCGAATGCGAAATTCCATGTGCAATGTCTTGTACTGTTGAATCCAATTTCTCACCAGCTTTCTTTACTTCTGATGTTGCTTTATCTTTAGCAGCTTTACCTATATCAGTAGTTTTCTGAATATCTTCTGAGATTTTCTTAGTGATAGTATCTGTCGTATCTTTTGCTGCGACAGTTTTATCTTTAGCTTTTTTTATTTCAGCGACAGTTCGATCTGCCGTGTCTTTTACGTCACTGACAATAGCATCTTTTTTATGTTCTAATTCTTCCAAATCAGCAACTGCTGCTTCTTTAATACGAGCTTCTTCCAATTCTGCCTCATGTTTTGTTTCATCTAGAAATTCTTTGACATCATCTGCTGCGTCTTCTACAGCGTGTTTCGCACCTTTGAAGATACCAGAGAAGAAACCACCTGTTTTTTCCTTAGCTTTCTTCACTTCTTTCGTCGTTTTATCCTTTGCACTATCAATAGCATCTGCAGCTGCATCAACGCCTGTTACTAATTTATCTTTAATTTTCTTTGTATCTTCCTTTACTTCTTTAATTGTAGCATCTTTAGTATCCTTGGTAACTTGCGCAACATCTGCTGCAATTTCTCCTGTTTTTTCACCGATTTTCTTCGTTTCCGCTGCTACTTTCTCACCAACTGCTTTCGTGGTATCAGCAACTTTCTGAGTATCTTTGGAAACTTCTTCGACAATTTTATCCTTTTGATCTTTAACAGCAGAAATTGCTTTATCTTTTGTATGTTTCATGTCAGCTGTGGCTTTATCTGCAACATCTTTTACACCTGTTACCGCTGCATCTTCTTTATCTTTCAAGTCTCTAAGTTCCGATGCAATTTTTTCCTTAGCACTTTCTTCTTCCAATTGAGCATCTCTCTTTGTCTCATCCATAAATTCTTTAACATCGTCAGCAGCATCTTCTACGGCATGTTTAGCGCCTTTAAATATACCAGAAAAGAAACCACCTGTTTTTTCTTTAGTTTTTTTTGCTTCTTTTGACGCTTTATCCTTTGCACTGTCTGTTGCATCCGCTGCCACATCAACGTCTGCTGCCGCTAATTTTTCTTTCACTGATTTTGCATCGTCTTTTACTTCTTTAATTGCTGTATCTTTAGTATCCTTGGCAGCTTGTGCAACATCCGACGCAGTTTCTTCTAATTTTTCCCCGATTTTCTTAGTTTCCTCTGCTACTTTCTCACTAGTTGTTTTCATGACGTCGGCAACTTTCTGCGCATCTTTGGAAACTTTCTCGACAACTTTATCTTTTTGGTCCTTTAGTGTAGAAACTGTTTTATCTTTTGCATCTTTTACATCGGTGATGGCCTTGTCTGCGGCCACTTGAACTCCAGTAATAACAGCGTCTTGCTTATCTTTCAAATCTTTGAGACCTGCAGCAACTTCTTCCTTAGCACGTTGTTTTTCTAATGAAGCTTCTCTTTTCGTTTCCTCCAAGAATTCCTTAATATCATCAGTTGCTTCTTCTGCAGCATGTTTTCCTCCTTTAAATATACCAGAAAAGAAACGACCTGTTTTTTCCTTAGTTTTTTTCGCTTCTTTTGTGGCTTTGTCCTTTACGCTGTCCGCAGTTTCCACAGCAGCATCAGCATCTGCTATCAATTTTTCTTTTATTTTTATCGTATCTTCTTTTACATCTTTAATCTTTGCGTCTTTAGTGTCCTTAACACTTTTCGCAATATCTGCAGCAATTTCTCCTGCTTTCTTAGTATCCTTCGAAAGTTCTTCCCCAATTTTATGTTTAGAAATTGCTTTATCTTTCGCATCTTTGACATCAGTAATGACTTGATCAGCAGCTTCTTGAACTTTAGTTGTAACAACATCCTTTTTATCCTTTAGATCTTTTATTCCTGCGTCAATCTTCTCTTTAACATGTTCTTCTTCTAAAGCGGCTTCTTTTTTGGTCTCATCTAAAAATTCTTTGACGTCGTCAGCAGCATCTTCTACGGCATGTTTCGCACCTTTAAATATTCCGGAGAAGAAACCACTCGTTTTTTCTTTAGCTTTTTTTGCTTCTTTCGTCGCTTTTTCTTTGGCACTATCCGCAGCTTCTGCAGCGGTATCAACACCTGCTGCCAATTTTCCTTTCACTAATTTCGTATCTTCTTTTAATTCCTTAACTGCTGTATCTTTAGTGTCTTTAATATCTTGCACAACATCCGCTGCAGTTTCTTCTATTTTTTCATCAACTTTTTTCATTTTTGTTACTACTTTTTCACCGCTTGTTTTCGTCGCATCAGCAATTTTCTGTACATCTGTCGAAATTTCTTCCACAATTTTATCCTTTTTGTCTTTAGCAGTAGAAATAACTTTATCTTTTGCCTCTTTCGCGTCATCGGCAACTTTGTCTGCAGCCTGTTGAATACCAGAAACGACCGTATCTTTTTCATCTTTCAAATCTTTAAGTCCTTGAGTAATCTCTTCTTTAGCATGTTCTTTCTCTACTGAAGCTTCTCTTTTCTTCTCATCCAGAAATTCTTTGGCATCGTCAGTTGCATCTTCTACAGCATGTTTCGCGCCTTTAAATATACCAGAAAAGAAACGACCTGTTTTATCTTTAGCTTTCTTTGCTTCTTTCGTCACTTTGTCCTTTGCATTATCCGCAGCTTCTACGGTAGCATCAGCACCTGCAGTTAATTTTTCTTTTACTAATTTTGCATCTTCTTTTACTTCTTTAATAGCTGCATCTTTAGTATCCTTGGCAGCTTGTGCAACATCTGCCGCAGTTTCCTCTATTTGTTCTCCGATTTTTTTCGTTTCGTCTGCTACTTTCTCACTAGCTGCTTTCGTGGTGTCAGCAACTTTACGCGCATCTTTAGGAACTTCTTCAACAACTTTATCCTTTTTGTCTTTTACTGCAGAGACAGTTTTGTCTTTAGCAGCTTTTGCATCAGTGACGGTTTTATCAGCGACATCTTGAATACTAGTAACAAGAGCTTCTTTTGTATCTTTTAAGTCTTTGACACCTGCAGTAATTTTTTCTTTGGTTTGCTCTTGTTTCAGAGTGGTTTCCTTCTTTGTCTCGTCTACAAATTCTTTTACATCGTCAGATACTTCTTCTACAGAATGCTTCGCGCTCTTGAATATTCCCGAAAGAAAACCACTACCCTTTTCTTTAGCTTTCTTTGATTCCTTAATTACTTTATCTTTCGTAGTTGCAGCACTTTCTGCTACAGCATCACCGCCTGCTTTTAATTTTTCTTTTGCTGCTTGTACATCTTCCTTTATTTCCTTCGCTACGCTATCTTTAACATCTGCAACACCTTGCGCGATATTATCGACAATTCGTTTTTCATCTGTAACTACTTTATCACCTGTCGCTTTAGTGACGTCGATAGTCTTTTCGACTTCGTCAATTATTTCCTCAGCAACACGATCCTTAGCTTCTTTCGCTTCGGAAATTATGCGGTCTGTTTTATGCTCCAGATTTTTTAGTTCAGCTTCTGCTGTTTCCTTGACATGTGCTTGCTCTAACGCTGTCTCCTTTTTCGTTTCGTCCAGGAATTCTTTTACATCATCCACTGCGCTATCCGTGGAATGTTTCGATCCTCTAAATATTCCCGAAAAAAAGCCACTAGCTTTTTCTTTAGCTTTCTTCGCCTCTTTAATTGCCTTATCTTTAGTGACTTCTACTGAATCCGATATAGATTCAGCTTTGGCAGCCAACTTTTCCTTTATAACGTTAGCGTCTTCTTTTGCTTCTATAAAAGCTGCATCCTTAATATCTTTCACATCATGTCCAACATCTGCCACGGAAGTTTCTACTTTATCGACTACTTCTTTGGTCTTTGTGACTACGTCATCACGAGCTGCTTTCAAATCATGTGTTGCTTTCTCCATGTCTTTGGCAGCTATATCCACTAACTTGTCTTTCGTATCTTTCGCGGTAGAAACTGTTCTATCTTCGGCATCTTCCACACTCTTAATGGTTTTGTCCACGGCATCCTTTGCACTATGCATTATACCACCTTTCTTACGTTCTAACTCTTCCAATTCTTTAGTCGCTTCCTTTTTGGAATCGCTTACATGTTCCTTCACATCTTCAGGTATATCTTCCGCAGTATGTTTTGCACCTTTGAATATACCAGAAAAGAACCCACTAGTTTTTTCTTTAACTTTCTTCGCTTCTTTTGTTGTTTTATCTTTTGCACTTCCCGCAGCTTCCACAGCAACATCAGCACCTTCTGCTAATTTATCTTTTACGAATTTTGTATCTTCTTTCATTTCCTTGACTGCTGCTTCTTTAGCATTTTTCACATCCTGCACGATATCTGCTGCAGTCTCTTCTATTTTTTCACCGAATTTCTTCGTCTCTGTTGTAACTTTTTCACCGGCTGTTTTTGTAGCATCGGTGACCTTTTGTATGTCTTTGGAAACTTTCTCTGCAATTTTATCTTTCTTATCTTTTACAGTAACAACTGTTTTATCTTTCGTGTCTTTCACATGAGTGATGGTTTTGTCTACAGATCCTTGAACTTCAGTTGCGACAATGTCCTTTTTATCCTTCAAATCTTTAAGTCCCGCAGCAATTTTTTCTTTAGTACGCTCTTCATACAAAACAGCTTCCTTCTTTGCCTCATCCATTATTTTTTTGACGTCGTCATGTTTAGCGCCTTTAAATATACCAGAAAAGAAGCCACCTGTTTTCTCCTTAGCTTTTTTTGCTTCTTTTGACGCTTTATCCTTTGCAGTGTCTGTAGCATCCGCTGCCACATCAACGCCTGCTGCTACTTTTTCTTTCACTAATTTTGCATCTTCTTTTACTTCTTTAATTGTTGCATCTTTAATATCCCTGGCAGTTTGTGCAACTTCTGCCGCTGTTTCCTCCATTGTTTCTCCGATTTTTTTAGTTTCATTTGCTACTTTCTCACCAACTGCTTTCGTGGCATCGGTAACTTTCTGTGCATCTTTGGAAATTTTTTCGATTTTATGCTTTTTGTCTTTTATTACAGAAATTGTTTTATCTTTTGCTTCCTTCGCTTTATCAGCGGCTTTATCCGCAGTTTCTTGAACTTCACTGACCACAGCGTCTTTTTTATCTTTTAGATCTTTCAGACTTAGAGCAGCCTTTTCTTTGGCATGTTCTTCTTCCATTTCTGCTTCTTTTTCCGTCTCATCTAGGAATTCTTTAACGTCATCTGTCGCATCTTCTACAGCGTGTTTCGCACCTTTAAAAATACCGGAGAAGAAACCAGTTGTTTTTTCTTTAGCTTTCTTTGCTTCTTTTGTTGCTTTTTCCTTTGCACTGTCGGCAGCTTCTGCTGCCGCATCAGCGTCAGCTATTAATTTTTCTTTCATCAATTTTGTATCATCTTTTACCTCTTTAATTGCTGCATCTTTAGTATCCTTAGCAGCTTGTGCAATTTCTGTCGCAGTTTCCTCTATTTTTGTTTCGATTTTCTTCGTTTCATCTGCTACTTTCTCACCAACTGCTTTCGTGGCATCGGCAACTTTCTGCGCATCTTTAGAAACTTTTTCGACAACTTTATCTTTCTTGTCTGTCATTGTAGATACTGTTTTATCTTTCGTGTCTTTTACGTCAATAATGGCTTTGTCTGTGGTCTCTTGAATTCCTGCAATCACAACACCTTTTTTATCCTTCAAATCTTTAATATTTGTGGCAACTTCTTCTTTAATACGTTCTTTTTCTAATGATGCTTCTCTTTTCGTTTCATCCAAAAATTCTTTGACGTCATCAGTTGTATCTTCCACAGTATGTTTAGCGCCTTTAAATATACCAGACAGAAAACCGCTGGTTCTTTCTTTAACCTTTTTTGCTTCTTTTGTTGCTTTATCTTTCGCACCTTCCGTAGTTTCTGCAGCAATATTGACATCTGCTGTCAATTTATCTTTAATTTTCTTTGTATCCTTTTTTACTTCTTTAACTGCTACATCTTTAGTGTGCTTGGCAGTATGCGCAACATCCGTCGCGGTCTCTCCCATTATTTCACCAATTTTCTTTGTTGTCGTTGTTATTGTCTCACCTGTTGCTTTCGCGGTATCGGAAATTTTCTGAGTATCTTTGGAAATTTCTTCAACAATTTCATCCTGCTTGTCTTTTACTGCAGAGACTGTTTTCTCTTTTACATCTTTGGTTTCAAGAACGGCTTCTTGAACCTCAGTAGCGAGAGTATCTTTCTTATCTTTCAGATCTGTCAGACTTGCAGCAGCCTTTTCTTTGGCACGCTCCTGTTCAAGCGCAGCGTCCTTTTTCGTCTCATCTATAAATTCTTTAACATCGTCAGCCGCATCTTCTACGGCGTGCTTAGCACCTTTAAAAATACCGGAGAAGAAACTAGTTGTTCTTTCCTTTGTTTTCTTTGTCTGTTTTGTCACTTTATCCTTTGTGTTATCTACGGTCTCTACAGTAGCATCAGCACCTGCTGCCAATTTTTCTTTCACTAATTTCGTATCTTCCTTTATCTCCTTGATAGCTGCATCTTTAGTCTCCTTGGCAGTTTTCACAACATCTGCCGCGGCATATTCCATCTTTTCACCTATCTTCTTTGTTTCCGCTGTTACTTTTTCACCGACTGCTTTTGTTGTATCGGTAACTTTTTCAGTATCTTTCGAAACTTCTTCTACAAGTTTAACCTTCTTATCTTTTATTACAGAAACAGTTTCATCCTTAGCTTCTTTTATATCAGAGAAGGCTGTGTCTGCAGTTTGTTGAACTTCGGTTACGACTGTATCCTTCTTATCTTTTAAATCTTTAATACTTGTTGCAATTTCTTCCTTAATATGTTCTTTTTCTAAAGAAGCTTCTCTTTTTGTTTCATCCAAAAATTCTTTAACATCATCAGATGCATCTTCAGCAGCATGTTTTGCACCTTTGAAGATGCCAGAAAAGAAACCACTAGTTTTTTCTTTAGCTTTTTTCGTTTCTTTCATTGCTTTATCCTTTGTACTATCTGCAATTTCTGAAGCAGCAGCAGCACCTGCTGCCAATTTTTCTTTCACTAATTTGGTATCATCTTTTATCTCTTTAATTGCTGCATCTTTAGTATCCTTGGTAGCTTGTGCAACGTCTGCCGCAGTTTCCTCCAGTTTTTCTCCGATTTTCTTCGTTTTATCAGCTATTTCCTCACCAACTGATTTCGTGGCGTCGGCAACTTTCTGCGCATCTTTGGAAACTCCCTCGACCACTTTATCCTTTTGGTCTTTTAATGTAGAAACTGTCTTGTCTTTTGCTTCTTTCACTTTTTCGGCGGTTTTGTCCACATTTTCTTGAACTTCACTAACAGCAGTGTCTTTTTTGTCTTTTAGATCTTTTAGACTTGCAGCAGCCTTTTCTTTGGCATGTTCTTCTTCCATTTCAGCTTCTTTTTTCGTCTCATCTAGGAATTCTTTAACGTCATCTGTCGCATCTTCTACAGCGTGTTTCGCACCTTTAAAAATACCGGAGAAGAAACCAGTTGTTTTTTCTTTAGCTTTCTTTGCTTCTTTTGTTGCTTTTTCCTTTGCACTGTCGGCAGCTTCTGCTGCCGCATCAGCGCCAGCTGTTAATTTTTCTTTCATCAACTTTGTATCATCTTTTATCTCTTTAATTGCTGCATCTTTAGTATCCTTGGTAGCTTGTGCAACATCTACCGCAGTTTCCTCCAGTTTTTCTCCGATTTTCTTCGTTTTATCAGCTATTTCCTCACCAACTGATTTTGTGGCGTCGGGAACTTTCTGCGCATCTTTGGAAACTCCCTCGACCACTTTATCCTTTTGGTCTTTTAATGTAGAAACTGTCTTGTCTTTTGCTTCTTTCACTTTTTCGGCGGTTTTGTCCACATTTTCTTGAACTTCACTAACAGCAGTGTCTTTTTTGTCTTTTAAATCTTTTAGACTTGCAGCAGCCTTTTCTTTGGCATGTTCTTCTTCCATTTCAGCTTCTTTTTTCGTCTCATCCAAGAATTCTTTAACGTCATCTGTCGCATCTTCTACAGCGTGTTTCGCACCTTTAAAAATACCGGAGAAGAAACTAGTTGTTTTTTCTTTAGCTTTCTTTGCTTCTTTTGTTGCTTTTTCCTTTGCACTGTCGGCAGCTTCTGCTGCCGCATCAGCGCCAGCTGTTAATTTTTCTTTCATCAACTTTGTATCATCTTTTATCTCTTTAATTGCTGCATCTTTAGTATCCTTGGTAGCTTGTGCAACATCTACCGCAGTTTCCTCCAGTTTTTCTCCGATTTTCTTCGTTTCATCTGCTATTTCCTCACCAACTGATTTTGTGGCGCCGGCAACTTTCTGCGCATCTTTGGAAACTTCCTCTACAACTTTATCTTTTGTGTCTTTTACGGCAGAGACGGTTTTAACTTTTACTTCTTTTGCTTTATCGACAGCTTTATCCGTAGCTTCTTGAACTTTACTCACAGTAGCTTCTTTTTTGTCTTTTAGATCTTTCAGACTTGCAGCAGCTTTTTCTTTGGCTCGTTCTTCTTCCAATGCAGCTTCCTTTTTCGTCTCATCCATAAATTCTTTAACATCGTCAGTTGCATCTTCTACGACATGTTTCGCACCTTTGAATATGCCAGAGAAGAATCCGCTTCCTTTTTCTTTAACTTTTTTCGCTTCTTTGATAGCTTTGTCCTTAGCAGATGCTACAGCATCTTCAGCTGATTCAGCTTCGGATGATAATTTTTCTTCCATGATTTTTGCATCCTCCTTTATCTCCGTAATGACTGCGTCTTTAATTTCTGTACCTGCTTGTACAGCATCCTTCGCAGTGCTTTCTATTTTTTCACCCACTTTCTTCGTATCTGTCATAGCTTTTTCAGTAGCTGCTTTTGCATGATCCGTTGCCTTCTCTACGTCTTTCGAAATCTTCTCCGAGACTTTTTCTTTCTTGCCCTTCACAATGGACACCGTTTTATCTTTGGATTCTTTAATGTCGGTAACAGTTCTGTCAGCAATGTCCTTCGCGCCTGTTACTAAAGTATCTTTTTTCTCTTCCAGATTTTTCAAGCTAATGGCTGCCGCTTCCTTGGCTCGTGCTTCCTCTAAAGCAGCTTCTTTCTTCGTGTCGTCCAAGAATTCCTTGATATCATCGGTTGCTTCCTCTGCGGCATGCTTCGCACCTTTAAATATCCCTGATAGGAATCCTGCACCTTTGTCTTTCGCTTTCTTTGCTTCCTTGGTCGTTTTGTCTTTTGCAGCTTCAGCGCTATCGACGACATCATGTGTTTTATCTTCTACTTTTTTAGCAATCATATCTTTACCATCCTTGACGGCTTTACTAACGTCTTCTGCTGCAATTGTGATGTGCTGGTCAACTTTCTTTATCTCTGTTGATAATTTATCATCTTTCGAATCTGTCAATTCGCCCATGATATTCGCCGTATTCCGTGAATCCTCCAAGAACGCTGCGGTTACTTTTCGTAAATCTTCGTGGCCACTATCTGGCAGTTCGAGCGAAGGTGTCTTCTCCTTAGATCTACTCCTAGATCTGGAACTTCTCGCTTGTTTGGGACTTCTGAATATACCGAAAATGCTACTTCCCTTATCTTTTTCGACAGCTTCATCTTCGGGAATGATAGATTTTTTTATCTTCTCATCTATAGGCGGAGTTCTTGTAATACTCTCTGGTAACTCTTCTTCAGCTTGCTGCAAGTTCTCTGCCATCTGTATTGTGTCTTCTAGAAGTTTTGCCGTTGCCAATCGAATGTCTTCGTCTCCGCTGTCAAAAGAGGTCTCCTTCGAAGAACTATGCTCTCGAGATCTGCTTCTCTTTTTGCTTTTGAGTTTCGGGCTCTTAAACATACTGAAAAAGCCGCCACTCTTTTCTTTGATATCGTCGCTCATCTCTTTTTCCGTCTCGGGTGCTTTCGGTTCCGGCGTATCGGATTTTACTTCTGCAGCAAGTTTTTCGATATCTTTTTTCTCTTCCTTCTGAATTTTCTCCTTGTCAATGTCCGCTTTCCCGTTTACCTCTTCGTGGATAGTCTTCTCGATCTTCATCGTGGTTTGTACAACATCGTAAGATTTACTGACTTTGTCCGCGGGAATATCATCGTAATGAGTGGTCGACACGAAAGTACGTACCTCTTCTTTGGGAGTGACTTTTGTGCCATCGCTTTTGTACGCAATCGGTAACACGCTAGAGTCAGTAACCTTCCGCGTATCATTCAAGAGTTTCTCCGTTACGGCTTTGATTTCCTCATCGCCGCTGTCAAAGGACGTTTCCTTCGATTTGAGCTTTTTGTCCTTGGATTTTGGACTCTTAAAGATGCCGAAGAAGCCGCCCTTCTCCTTTACTTGATCTTCCTTTTCGTCATCCTTACTAGGTGATTGCTCATCCGTTGAAATAATCTTTGCTTTGCTTTTGGCATCCTCGATGACTTTCGCGCTGGTTTTCACAGCTTTTTCTGTTTCTTTTTCGATTACGCTAGGCACTTCGACAATCTGAGATGCTTCGACCTCTTTCTCCTTTTCCTTTATTTGTAATTCCAATAATTCCTCGTTTTCCTTTGCGATTGCTGCCAGCTTTTTTTTCTCTTTTTTTGCGATTTGCTCTGCGGATTCTTTGGGTTTCTCAACATGAATAACAGGTAAGACAGATCCATCTTCGTCTTTTTTAGACTTACTTTTGAACAAACTCGAGAAAAAGCTTGTCTTATCTTTATCATCATCGGTCTCAGCAGTCTCTGTTTTTTTGTCTTCTTTCTCCACTGGCTTAGCAAGACCTTCGTAAGGTACATGCATGTCTGCAGCGATTCGTCGAGAATCTTCTAAAAATTCCACAGTAGCTGATCTTACATCGGGTGCAGTTGTGATTTCTGGTAATCTGCTGTCAAAATGCGAATCCGTTACTTCGCTAGAAGGAAATTCTGGCTGCTGTTCAGAAACTTTCGTTAGGATAGCCTTTGATTCCTCGTCACCACTGTCAAAGGACGTGTCCTTTGAACCTTTCTTGCCTCTCTTCAATTTGGAACCTTTAAAAATTCCCGAAAATATTCCGCCACTTTTATCCTTTGTTTTCTTCTCTTCGTCTGATTTTTCTTCTGTGCTGTCTGCTGAATGCGGCACGTTGTAAACATCTTCATAAGCCGTTTTCATAGTCTTCGTAACAGTCTCTTTATCCTTCTCCTTATCTTTATTCCTGTCTGCTGGAGTTTTTATTTCTGACTTCTTTTGATCAGTTCGAACTATTGTGTCAACCTTTACCGTTTTTCGCGTAACAGTCGCGTCCGTAGGAATTGCACCCAACTTTTCGTCGACTTCCTTACCCTCCTTAGACAGTTTCTCTTTCTCGCTAACAACGTCTTTTTTATCAGGGGAAACGATTACCGTTTCTTTCGTAGTCACGGTCTCAGTCGGAGTCTGTTTTATTACCGTAGTCTTAGTTACTACTGTCTGACCTACTTTCGGATCGCCACTAACAGAAACTACTGTTTTTGAAGTGCTAACTTTGGGATCCGGTATCCCACCACGATGTTGCTTAATCATCGGCGGTTCGATACTAGGGATTTGCTCTAATTTGGGAACGAAACCTTCCGGCTCGGTGGCCGCTTGATCTAAATGAACATTAATTACAGTCTGCCCTATCGCACCCCGCGCCTCTTTATTGTCCCGCGCATCATCATCATCATCATAAACCACCGACCACCCTTCCTTCGCTAACTTCCCCTTCTCTTTCTCTGCGTCTGCTATTACACCTGTTAATTAAGTATAATATATTTTAGGCATCTGTATACGTGGTAACAAAATAAAGGAACACAATTTTATTGTCAATTTCGTCATCATTAGTGTAAGCTGGCTCGCTCTTTGATTGCTCTTTTGATTGAACTGCGGTTAGACTGTAGTAGTGTGGTTTGTGCGTGGAGTGTATGTGCTGTGGAGCAGCCATCTTCTCACTACATCGTTATATACGCAAGGCAAATGTGATTCAAGAAGGAGAAGTAACATCAATTGCCAACAATCAATACTGGTGCAACGTACATACGTACTTTGACTTTTCAATAAATTGTATTGAAACGTTCTCAGTAGCTTGCAATTTCGAAATGTTTTTCTATGAAAATACTTCAATTAGTATTATAATATTAATCTATGAAATGAACGCTAAAGGTACTAAAATGAAGCTGTTAGAGAATATAAACGACATATATTCAGCTTCACAAAGAACTCTTGATTACTGTTTTAAGTGACAACAACAGTCAATTGCTATTAGTAATGACTTTAGTAATTTTTAATCTATCAGTTATAGGTAAAGGAAACGATATTCTGATGGCCTACGCAACAACGATCTTTTCTAATGACAGCTGCTCCGTGCGCGCACACAATTAGGCCCATATATTGGCCATTCATGCAACGCCAAATAATTGCAGCGAAACCTTGCTGAAACAAATTAATCTAAAAGTGTTCGCGAAATATTAAGGATATTAGTGGGGATGATTAAATGAGGTATAAAAATTATTGTATAATATATAAGTAATAGCTGTTTGAGATAGGCCGAGATAAAATAATCCGTTATTATTTATATTAAAGTAAAAGCAAGCTGGTAAAATTCTGAAGAGATCCGCATTGGCTTCCAGAACCTGTGAGTGGACGGCGTAGAGACAAATGTTTAGTGCTCACGTACGTTATTTGCACTCTGCAAACGTACATTATTCTTTATAAGCTGAGACAAATTTTATGCGTTGACGTGAATCGTGTCCAGAATCATAATAATAATAATAATAATAATAGTAATATTCCTTATTCATTGTATTAGCATTTATTCGACCGCAACGTTTCGCTGAAATAAGATCGTGCACACTGTTGATTGAATACTTACATAAAAATTAAAGCTTGCTTCATAAATGACGATAATAAAGTCACAAGTGAAAATTCAAAGTACGAATTAGATTAGCATTGGAAATATAGCTGCTTAGAAACTACGTTATTGGCATATAATAGTCTATACGCCAATACAATTAAAAGTAATTATGTGCATTTGTTGCGACATAACTGCATAACGGTACACATATCATTTTTACAAATGAAGAAATAATATTCGTCTATAGGAATGTATAAAAAATTCACCGAAAAATAGTATCATTAAGAGAAAAGACAATGCTAAACGCGCAAATAAATATATAAAGCTATTTGAGAAACATAGTTGTACATCTCGTGCATTATTTAAAAATCTTTTAAGCGAGTAGATTTCATAACTATGAACACGATATCACTAAAAAGGAAAGGTATCTCCGATCTAATGAGGTTTAGCGAGTTTGGCGAAACGCAGTTCGTCGACATATGGTTAATACGAGTAAGTCGATCCCTTAGGATCAAGCGTGCGCCCGCAGCATTAATCCAATCATGCTGCTGAATTTATAGTATATGTATGTATAAATGCGTAATCTCGATTTGGCGACGTAACTCCGCTAAACTCGATTAACAGCTGCTGGTTCTTTGTCAGTAGTAGTATAAGCACGGCCCCTCAACCCGCACCATTCATTCCAATCGCTTTCAAGCTCACTTACCAGAGACTATCTTGTTGGCATCGGCGATCGCTTTCTGACGTTTTTTCTCCGGATCGTCCAGTTCATCGCGCGACTTTTTGCTCATCGTGTCGGTCGTATGGCATTTGTGTTCAAGGTAATCAGCCATCATGTCGCTGAGCTCTTTCTCGTCGCTCGCGTATTTGTCTTTGATGGGGGTCGAGGTTCCGTTGAATACAGTGCCGTTTGTGATTGTGATGTGCTCTTTGGCTGTGAAGTGCAGAAAATGCGTAAACGAAGAGACACGGAGGTAACACGAGCTGATGTGAGACATTGCATGACGAATGTAATGGATATATGTGGCCACAATAAAATTGCCCGGCAAGCGTTGACTAACACGTTTTCTAAGTAAGCACGAGTAAAAGTGTTCGTTCTGTGTATTTGACAACTAATAACACGCGTTTGTGGCGTAGCGTGCATCATTCATTCAAGTATTGTGAGCCATGACGTCACATTTTTTTATTGCAGTATGTATTGTAGTATAATAGAAGAAAATGTATAATATTGAATAATTTTTGACAAATTGTATATATAATGTTAAAACGCAATGCAAGAGCGAGTAATAATAAAATTAAATTTATAGATATTACTATTTGTACTTACGTTTATCGTGTGTGCCAGTGATACTGAGATCCTCCATTGATTCAGAGTCCTGGAATAAAGAGAGAATTGCGCTTTATCTTGGTGATTATAAGAATCCCACGCTCTTGAAGAAGTAGTTATTTGAGTAAATTACTGTTATGTATAAGCCTTTTAACTGTTGTAGCATACATAAAAGAGCTATTACGAGATATAAAGTGAACGGATAGTATCTTCTTCAATTGCGCTCAATAATAGTATTCGCTATATAGATAACGAGAATAAGGTCAAACGATAAAATAGCATCTTTTGTTAATGATAATTTGTTTTGTCACATGACGATTTGAATTATACTACAATTATACATGTAGATTCTCCCAGATTTGCATAAAGTGCGCACCTTCATTCTGTCAGACTCTTCATAATCAGGATCCATTTTAGGATCCATAGTTGCATCACGGCGGAGTGACGTGTTTCTCGACGGTCCTAATTCTTCCTTAAGAGAATCAAATCCTGGCTGATCCAGTCTGACTCTCGCCACAGCTTTTTCAACGTCGTCAGTCACTAATTCAACATTGAAGATACATTTGTTCACTATATCTTCTCGTCCGATCTTATTGAGAGCTTTTTCTAACGTATTTCCTGCAAATGAAGGACGATACGTACATGATATTTCAATCATTAATATGAATTTTATATTTAAGTACATTACAAATATATTATTAATATTAAGATATATTATTAATATTTATTTTAATATATACATGTAATATATCAAATTGCTTTATATGTATTTTAAATACAATTACAAGTGTTAAAAAGTTTTAAAAGCAAAGATACAAGAATTCGATATTCATATCATTAAAATTTATATCCAATTATATTCTTATTCACTCTTTCTTTTAATTTTACACAGACCTGAATGTATTGCATATTGTGGACGTAGGTAAGGACATCTTCGAAATATTATTAGGAGTTCGCTTGTGTAATGATTATGATTTTCATATTCTTGATATAAAGTTATAAACATTGTTTTCTTTTTTCTATTTATATATTTTTTTATATATACAGGTATATTTATTTATATATATTTATATACTATTTTCTAAAACCAAATTAATTAAAATTTAAGAAATTTGAAACAGAACAGTCTTAAAACATGTATTTTTCCCGAGAATTTTTTCGCGAGAATGTGTCTGAAAAATATCGAATAATCTCGATAATACAGATTCACACAAATACGAATAATTCGGCGATATACGTAAAACCGGTACAAATAAAGAAGTAGCAGAATTTAATCACTTTCACTGCACGACTAGTGATCACGTACTGCGGAATCACGACCACTTGTTATTTCTACTGATTGCAGAAACATCGTGAGTTATGTACGAGTCAATGCCATTAGCAGGAAGAAAGGAGAGGGAACGAAGCGTGTAGACTTATGTCAGGCATAATAATGCACAATGAGATCATCACATATCTACGTTGCTAGAAAAGATTCCTCACGCCTGACTCAACTATAGCGCGCATGTCTAATTAATTGACCTTGCTGGGAAACAGGTTTTTTAAAAGTTATCAAGGCAAGCTATCGCAATTCTTATTCACCGAAAATTAACATGCTACGCTTTGATGATGTAAAGGTAAATAAATTATGTAATGTCTCACCTGTGGCTTTGTTTCCACTGTTTTGCCAGATTTTGAACATGGCAGCGGCCTGTTGCGCAGGTTTATCGGGGTATTCTTGTTTTATTAGAGCCACATCGTTAGGTGGGATATTCAACTCTTCCGCTAGTGGTTCCCAATCTTTATCCAATAGATTAGCAATATCTGTTAATCGAATGGTCGCTCTATGTATTGCATCTGGTCTGCCTAAAAATAATATTTGACGTGTAAAATAGAAAACTTTGACAACAAATGTCGTTAATAATTAATTTTTATTTTATATCACACACATTATTGTTATAGTTCACGTACTTATTCCACCATCGCGTAAGAAACTGTAGTTCTTTGACAATTCCAACAAGTCAAGCTCGGAGACCGCGGTATCCGGAGAAATTTTTTCCGGCAGCAAAATATTTAATGTGCAGATTGGCGTTTGCGGCAGTTCACCTCTCGGAACCTTAGGTTCGCTCATAAACATGATTCGACCCATCATATCAGCAGCATCCGGATCCTTTATTCTCGCGGTGAACGGAACTCTATTTTCCTTGAAAGCCCTAAACGGTAATTGCAGCTGTTCACCCGTTTTCAGAACGGGTACAAGATTTCCCGAAAATTCCATATATTGCGTTTTTCCTTCAAGAACCTACAGCATAAAAAAAGATTTGATGACATTTTAAGTAACTATATAAGAAGCTATGCGTAACTCACGAACTTTGACGGCATTTTTATTGTTGATAATTACCTCAACATCTCTACTCTTTGCAACTTCTGTAAAATGTTCCTGATGCTCTAAAGTTTTGTCTTCTTTGTCGTCCGTCATACAGAATACACGTAGTCTCGCTTCCAATGGATCTACCCGTTTTGCAAACACGACGAATCTATCATAAAGCAAGTATTAAAGTAATTGCTTCCTGTATAATTTGCATCTATATAATTTATCACTGAAAATTCACATATGTCACGTCACATCAGTCGAAACGTACTTAGCCATGAAGGGTACATGTGTCGCGTGCGTGTATAGTTCCGTGGCCATTTTCGTGGCCTCGGAAATGTTACGGCAATCCATTAACCAGAAGCGGGCGGAAACTGTGGTGGTGAAGGAAACGCAATCTTTCACAAAGGTCAACGGCGTCGAGCCTGTGACGTCCTCCCAGACTGCCCGAGTCTGACCCCCTGAACGACATACATGCCAAGTCCAATAACATTATTAAAATATGTCCGTGTTGCAAATGCGCAGGTGACAAAAGTGAAATATATGTGGTATATTTTTGCACGACCAAGATTAAATACGAACAATTAATTGAATACAAATCAGTGCCTATGCATAAATAATGTTGGATATATTAATAACAATCAATAATTACCAGACAAAGGAAATTTCGCATTTAAAAACGGTCGCTGTAAGTGCGCTGTTGTTAGGTGCTTTTTATCAATGTGTGAGTGTAATATAAAAATAAGTACATGATCGACTAAATGATAATGCTTGCAAAATCAAGAGGAAGCGTTATATATGATATGTGTAGAAAGCAATTATAGGTGTATAAATTTAAGATAAAAATTAAGTGATAAATAGGAAAAATACTATCATAAAGTATTAATCAATATGTATTTGTCATTTTATTAAAAAAAAAAGATTAAAATAATGATATCAAAATTTTAAAAGATAAAAAGTCTCACAATTATGTATTTTTTTGTAGGAACGATTTTAGGGGTTTTATAATATTAATACTTGAAATATATTCTTAATAGATTACGATTAAAATAAAGTTAAATGTGACAGTATTCAGTGTATATGTAATATTGTTATGAAATCTTTTTCGATTATATATGATTGGGTATTATAAAGGACATTATATAATCCCGTATATACATATACATATACATATACATATATATATATATACATATATCATGAGTACAATTTCATATAAATCACAAATTACTAATATATTAAAGCGATTACCAGACAAACGAATGTGCTGAAACAAAAACTTTAAAGTTAACTCTTAACAATGGGCTAGGTATAGTAAAATGTTATCTACTTTAATTGATAATCCATACCTAAATGACTCAATCCTAACAATATGCAAGCATTAACAATGAATCACAACAAGATATGTATACAATAATGATACTCAACGAAATGTTTCTATGAAACATGCAGCTACCATCTCCCTTTTAAATCTCTATCCGAAGATCCTCGGGACATTTCTCGATAATACGATGGACAGCAAAAGAAATTATTTAAGACAAAACATGACATATCTTCCAACATTCACATACATAAATCGATTTTTCCCATTTAAGTGAAAATGTCATACTGGAACATTTTTATATGCTGGTGCAAGTTACGAATCGTACAGACTGTTTACCATACTAAACATAGAGTTACAAAAGTGCTGCTACCATTTAAGCAATCCTCTCGTGCAACGTACGATACTTGGTTTGATCGTAGTCCCGAGCGACCTGAGAACAGACAAGATAGCCTACCGACTGTGTTCATGCTTGCTAAACTACAATTAAATCCCCGAATAGATACCCGAATGCGCAACGTAAGTTCAGCAAGAGCATATATGTACACCAAAGGTGTATGCGGCGTATAATATTAATTCAGCCGTTTATCGGTAAGAGATTCTCCAGTAAGACGGTACGCTGCTCTACAATGTTACGTGCAAGCATATATTACCAGTTATGCTGCACAGGAGTCTCAAAGTCGGCGCATCTCCGGAATACTGGTTGATCATGCCTTTATTAGCCGCCTGTGGTACTGGAATAGTTAAAGTTATCGGCTTGTGGAATTTTCTTCGTCTCGGTTCGACGGTAACAATCGGCGACCCAGCCACTCTATTTCCAAGTAATTTGGCCACCAGATCCGCCGGTATAGGATGTGCCTATATATAACAATAAATTTATTGAATACAATAAATAACTAATGGAAAGGTCTAGATCTGGAGAATATTATTAAATATAATAAATTATTTATTTTTGCTTTTTAAACCAAAAGTTTTAATTTCTTAATTTATAGAGACGTAGCCGATTAAAATTTTAAAATTAAAAAATGGTCAATTTCTTTGCCTATCGTAAGTAACTAAACGTATTTAAATGCCAAAGATGCAGATGGGAATTTGTATGGGAATATAATATATTTAATCGATGAAGGGAAACAGAAAAATACCTGCAGGCCGACTCTGATCTTCTTAGTAAGGGCCGCTTGCGGGAAGACAGCTTGTACTTGTGGTACAGCGGATGATGACACGGTACCGCCTTCGGGACCAACCGCATGGACCTCTTGCCGGATGCGAGATACTACCGCGAAGTAATGTGGGAAATCTACGGTGAGTATCCTTACGATACGAGACGTTTGGAGATCTTCTAGCTGGCTTAGCTCTGGAAATGTAAATGTCAAGGTGGTCTCAAGATTTAACTCAATGTCCTATCACTTGGGAATCGTAGAAAGGAAGTTACTTGAATCATACCTTCTCCCTCAAAGCTCTCGTTAAGCACATCTTGGACAGCCTCCTCGCTGGCTTCCAAGGTGTGCTCGCGCCAGGTCTCTCCGTTGTCTGATCGTAGAATTACTATTTCCCGTTCCTTTCCACGCAACGACGCGAAATGTGGCACTTCTATGATAACAGGGCTGTACAAAAACATTTCTTAACATTTGAGAAGAATTTGTCGTCATAATCATCAACTGTATGGTATAATGAAATTATTCTAAAAAGCAAGTCTTCAGTATATACTTTATACTTATCGTTAGTACAAAAATACGCAATAAGTATAAACCGAAGGCAGTCGGAATGGAAAAATAAAATCATGAAAGATGTCTGAGGAACATACCCCAGAAATTTTGCACCGACAGGACCTAATTCGAGGATACGACTGGCCAACGCTTCTCCCTCCATCAGGGGAGGTGGGTTTGTCAATTTGTCTCTCCTCAGGTATCTACAGGTGACGCGCATAGGCATTGCGGCTTTACGCGGTGGAACAATCACGCGGACGCCACTATGCCTGCATCCGCGCATCGCACCGCCTCTTGCGTCCACCAAGAAGGAAACCAGGAAGCTGAGGAGATTTTGAGAATATGTTACATTCGTTTACTTACGAGACATTATGAGAAATCGTCCGGAATAATATAAAAAAATTGCAATAAAAAAATTGCATTATATATGTGGAGGCTGCTTGCAAGAGATGCATACAGTCAAGGTCTATTTTAGGTACGCAAAATACGTGTGTCCTCGACATTACTTTCGCGCGCGTGCTACTATTTCGTTGCTATTGTTTTGCTATCAAACGTTTACAGCAATTTACTTTGATTTCCGTATAAAAATAGAATAAGTTTATTATACATTATTTGCATTCTGAAAGATCCCGCTGTAAACGATATAAAAAAGTTAGAGAATAGATTTACAATTGTTATAGCAATGTTTGATCACAATTTCATGGAAATCACAATAAACAAATGCCATAGTGAAAAATTAAAAATTGAACTTATATATGTGATATAATTCTAACATCAATGTCAGTCACAATACACTGTATAACTCGTAATTAATTATTACGAAAAGTGCGCAAAGCCAGAAAGCATAATCCTCGAGAAATTGTACTATAAGCGTGATATTTGTGAATCGGAGATTATGACGATCTTATGAAATTATTGTTAAAATTTAAAGACAATGCGCTTTGATCGCGTTAACACCATGATATTAATCGGCTGTAACGTGTCTTTCCTACAGTGATAGTGAGATAATTTGTGATGAGATAATTTGACTACACTCTACCGACACCTAATTGTTGTGCGTAAATATAATTACTTTAGCTTAATGTAATGTGGATAAGATAGTAAGATTATACAACAATGGGGGAATGTATAGCAAAATAAGATGTAAATAAAACAGCTATTTATACAGGTCGAAATCCATGTGGACATTTCTATGAGATGACAACGAGCTTACGAGGTGTTTGTGTGTATATAGGTGGCAAAATAAGAGATAAATAAAACGGCTACGTACGTAGGCCAAATCTATGAATATTCCTACGTGAGATGTCTATCATATGGATGTGATACAGTCGCAAGCACCAAACTACCGACATTGAAGGCAACGAAAGTGTCATCTAATTCGATTAAAACAAATTGGTTTCATTCAGTTGCTCTCAAATTACGTACAACGATGTCGGTGCCGAGAATCTCACTGATAAGCCTGTGAAGTATTCACAAGAGAATTGTGCAATGTATGTACAATACATCGCGCAACGGACATGAGCTCAGCAAGAATGTTTTCCACGGTATTAACACTTGATGTCGATTATTGCGGTTGTTCGAATACGAAGTTATTAAAGAATAGCCGCAGTTAATTTGTTTTTCATTTTAAGTTCCATATAAATTCGTCGACGCGCCTGTAAACCGCGTTTACGTACGTTTTTACTGAACAATTTATCGCCGAGAACGTAAAAAAATTCGAGATAACTGCAAGACATACGTGCCTGCTGTTTCATTCATTGTGCATTTTTTTATGTTAAGTTTTACTGATTTCTCGAGAAATCAAATTTATTTTATGACTCATCTTTCAGTGATCATTAAACGAGCTGTGTTTGCCGAGCGATGTATGATGTACGATGTTTCTAAGAATAATAAAAATCAGCGACTACAGAGGGTTGTGCGGTGACATATACAGGCTGTGTGTAACGACGGAAGGAAGAATAATCGAAAGAAAATCAAGGGGGTGATGTATATACACGGCAAACTGCAGAAGCTAAGATTGATGAGAAGATCACTTACTTTCTCCACTGTGGAATTCTGCTAGTAGCGCAAATAAAATAACAGAGAGGATCGGGAACAAAATAAAAAACGCGTTAGTATTCATTCGTTCATAAACATGATGATGAGATGACGTAAGAGATGATATATCGCTAATATTAGCACATTTTTACAAAACTTTTGTTCGCAAAATCAAATTCAATTAACACGAGACATTTGATTTATTACGTGATTCTTTTCTTTCTTAATATTTTGATTCGTTTCCATTGTATTTCGTTTTCGTAAAATGTGCTCCTGTTCATGATAATAATAATAATGATGATGATGATGATAATGATAATAATGATGATGATGATGATGATGATGATAGTGATTGTCGCTGATCACTTCGTAAAGTGCACTCATCACACGCAAGCCACTTTTCTATTGTACACGACTACGAAACAAGAAATAACAATAATAATTATGTATTATAGTAGAGAGAAAAACATATATAACACACTCACACTCTGCGAAAAGAAGACACGTACTTCGAGGAAAGAAACTTAAAATAATGACGCTCCGAAATCTGTTGTGATCTGGAACATTGATCGTTCTCGATTGTACACGAGAATTCGAGTTAACTTAAAAACTGCAGAGGAATGTATCTCTTCAAAATTATTATCGAACTAATTAACGCAACAGATTCCGTCACGCATAATCCGCGCGAAATAATTTTAACTTAAAATAAAATTATACAACAGAAAAACATCCAGTAGCAGCTATTGCAACGTTGAAATCTTCTTTCTACTTTCTACTATTTAACAATTTGTTGGAAGAACGATTCTTTTTCTTATAAATATTATAACATGCTCCTGTCATTCATTTTTGGACACAGATCTTACTATGTTTATTGTCACTAGTAATAATGACAATTTGTATGTCATTATGCAAAATTTATAAAACAAGAAGACTCCCTTATCAAATCCGACAGGAAAGAAAAGATAACGTAAAGGATATATGGTGTACCTGTCCCTCCACATCCCTTGTCCCTTCGGTGCGGTACTGAGAGCTGCCAGCGAGGTGCATAGGGACTCTAGGGACTCGCTATTCTCAAAATAAAACCGAGTTTCATTATCCGAATCAATAATCTTGCTTATCATGCTCATGCTGTCTCGCTCGTATAAGTAGCACTCTTTTCTGTTGTCACTGCATTCATTTTTAGTCATTACAGAAATGCTCTGTGCTTTTCTTTTGAATATATAGTGTCACGTGCAGAAATAATTCGATTAAGAATGTTGCATCATTATTAAACAGATAGGAGAAACAACGATCAAAATTTTCTACGTAAAAGGAAGAAATTTCATCATTGCGAATATTCTTCATTCTGTCCAAATCAGCCGGGCGGTTAGTACAAATTGCCAGTGATAAACAAAAGTACATTGGTCAAAGAATCGTTCGTCCAAGTGAAATGTGAAAAACAGCATGCTAAACACTAAGTAATCGAACTTCGCTACGAACAAGCAGGCTGTAACAAGAATATCAAGCGTTCTTGTTGAGCTGGTGGAATGACTGTAAACTATCGCAAGTCCTGTTACGAACATTAAGTATAAAACAAATTGTAGCACAAAAAATTCATTATGAACAATATACTATCACGTGTTTCGATATTACGTTTGATACGTGTTACGATCTTATACAATTATGTCTCACAGTAACAAGTTAACTTATATACATATATATATTTTAAGAAATAAGCGAACGAGAGTATATTTCGTGAGGATGAATTGAAATGTTTAAGCTAAATTTTCATACATGTGCCACACATTACTTTTCTTTCTATATCGGACACATTTACATCGAAAAAGTATTTTCTAAAATAGTTTTAACAATAAGTTAATATATACCACGTGCTTTGTAAACCTAATGCAGACTTGAATGATTAGGCAAGTATTGCACGCGATTTGAATAAAATGTCATCTATTATGAGTATTATGACGTATGGATATTAGGCACAGACAAGTTATCAACGATCGCGCGTTGATAACAGTGATGTAAATCTTTAGGCTCAACATGAGAACAAATATGAAGTCATTTATGTTGTGAAACTTATGTACAATCATGTGTACATTTTCATCCAGATTCGCAAAATGTATAATTTTATTCTTTCAATATTTTTTCAATTTAATATTTCACATATTAATATTTTACAAACACGTTCATTCTGTAATGTTTTATTTATCATGATTTTATCAACAATAATAAATAATCTCGATTAAAATAAACAATGTCTGAAATAAAATAAGAGTAAATAAAATTATCGATCATATTGCTTGTAATTATATGAGATTTGTTCTGTTACCAATCAGAAATTAAGATGATAAAATTAAAGTAATGAGTAATTCATTAAGTGGCCGATCCATCTGTAGGGTTAATCACAGCAGGAAACTTTCACCAACACACAAACTACATCATACTATAATACACATCATTATTGTTTCGTAGTATCAATACAGCATCGATCGCGATATGTATATCGGAGTACAAAGCCGCGTAATATATCGTGAATTGCATTTCCCGTAATATTAAATTAGATAACAATTTTATCCCACCTAAAATTTAAAATCCCCACAATTTACAATAGAAAAAGATTGGTGCGTGTAAAACTGAGCGAAATTTTGACATCAAATCAATATCAAGAAACTATTTTCTTATATATTACGTTAAATCTCTAAACTCGGATGAGAGAACAAAATATTATATTTTTTTTGTTTATATACTCGAGAATAGTAACGACGATTTTCGTGGAACAATGATAATCGTTCCGAGCTGCTTCGTATATATATATACATTAATGAAGTTTTTAATTTTACATATACGCAAGACGCTTTTTCTCACTATCGAATAAATTCTGATCCGTAAATATTAGATCATCAGTAACATGCGTCGAATTGTGAGCATGTCGTAATGTTATAATTTTAATATTATAATATATACGCTTATTACGGCACACCATGCAATTATAATTTGATCTTGCTGATTTGAAATGCTTTTTTGATGTCTTAATTATCAACAGAAGGAAATAACATTTACTTCGAGATTAAACTAGAAAAAATTATTACGATCATGAACACTTAAAAAAAATCCTTTATATGCTACATTGCTATTATGATTTAATTGAGTATTAAAAATTTGAAATTTAATAATATTTACAGTAAAATTTGTTGTACAAAAATGTATCTTTTTGAGCTTATATTGTAGCATTTAAATGAAATTCCGAAATAAATTGTATAATTGTCAATAATGAAATTTTGTCATTTTAAATATCCTTTATTTTATTAATAATGCTAAAATGAGAAAGAAAAAAGTAGATGTAATTACATACCCGACATGCACAGGATGCCTATTGATGTCTACATTGTCTGGTTTAAGATTGGCCGCGTTTGTACGTTGATAATGTTCTTTCGTAATCATCTCTGTTATAGTTGGCGCTAGAAAACACATTGCCATGCACGTTAAATTTATTTTCCGAGGATGAGCTAATCTGATTAACGTAATGTGCAGAGTAATCGAACGTTCAGTTCTGCGATACGTAGCAGAATATTAAGTGCTACAAAACATATAGCTATTATCTCGCGTTTCTCGTGTAATCTACCAACATAGCAAAATTATCGAATTATCAGTAGAATTGTATAAACAATGGATAAGATAGATAAAATTGCTTAAAAACAATATCACGACAAAGAGAATACCTAAATGTAGAATAAATTCCAAATTTAATTTTTAGCAAAATCACCAACTAACTAATGCAAAAGACTCGAAAGCACAGATAAGGACTTGACGATATTACTCTGATATCTGGCGAAACGTACGTGAGGATCCAACTATATGTTTACTTACCTCCGGAATGTCGATTATCTCTCTCGTCATCCGTCACATTCACGCGCATCGAGTCATCCCCCATGGACTTCATGTCATCAACAGTCATGTATCGGTACTGCTGCTGGTCGCTGAGCATTGGATCTTCACCTGCGATAAATATTAGACTTAATAATGCAAACGGAATGACACAGATATATTCGTAAGAGCGATAGAGTCCGAGGAGACGAATGAGACTTTCATATTTTGGAGTATTGTCGAGTTCAAATAAACTGTACGATATGTGAAGATATATTCGCAGATATATTCTCTACGGAAGTATGCGTACAAGTGAGAATGTGAGTTATGTGAGCTTGCAAATAAGGAAGAAACCATCGCCAAGTACGTTGCAGTGAAGCTGAAAAAGCGATATTTGTAGTTTGATGTTTTTGTAGAGGAGCACGTGGCTTGTCTAATGACTTAGAATGTTTGCTAACTAAATCAAAACTGTGTACGACCACCACTGAAAGGATTTAGTTCTTACGAAATAGAAACGTATCACATCGGATTAAATACATCGGCCGGTTTTAAATTATTTCAATAGTTCTTAAGTGTTTTCAAATCGCAGACACCACTCATTGATCCGAATGGAAAACAGAGCTGTTGTGCAGTTATAATGGTTACGTTTAGTCTTGCAAAGGATTCTGAGTCGTTTATAGTGTTGCTTTCACTTCAACCCCATTAATCTTCATCGTACAACCAAAATTATTGCTATGTAAAATAGTAATCTCCTTCTCAAACAAGATATTTGTGTAACTACAATAAGTCATAAAAGTTTGTAATTTTTATACATTCCGTTTTGAACATCTGATGGTACGAAAGAAAAAAATTAAGCTACACGATTTAAATGAATCCTTTAATAACAAAAGTAGTATAATGAGACCAATTATAGAGAAAAATTGTCTCGTACGTAATGAAACTAATCATAAATGCAATGATAAATTATAGAAGCGTTTATTAAAATTACGTTAGTAGCATTTCATCGATAAAGTTACACCTATAAAGCGAATGAATTTTTTCTTTTGCCTACTTAATCTGAATCTAATCAAAATCCAAAACCACTCCCACATCAAATATTTTCTTCAATTTTATATTTATATAAAACAAACATTTGTTAATGACGTCTAATAAAAATCAAGCTTCGGCCAATTTTATTCAAAAAACCGGAGAGAAGGAAGTTTGTGGGTGTCGCGAAATCACGTCATACCTTCTGTCAATTGAGGTCACGGTTGGGTACACCTCACACCCAAGAGGCACACATAAACGAACGTTATTCGATGGGACGAAGGTTGGAACGTATACGAACAGTATCACATTTTTCATACGACTGAGACATTCGCTTTATGAGCCTGCGTTATCAGATGTTCCAAGAATGTAGACCATGATTATCTAATGAACGGTCAGCCTACAAATTCGCCTCCTACAACGTCTTTCGTACCGTTACCATCATAATCATAAATTAACTTCGCGCGGCTTAGTGCATGCAAATTGAGAATGTTTCGAAATGGAAAGAAACCTCAACGCATTAATTGTTTGACAATCGCATTTTTTCTTAAGAATTATTCCGATAAACATCATATTTTTTCATCTTATCTCTCTTGTGAGAATTATTATTACCTCACTAAATAGAATCGCCTATGACTAATGTGAAAAACATCTCGAAAGCAAAGGCAATTAATAAACATACACGTGCGGCAAAGATTGTTGCAACAGCATTGCTAGTAATGTATAATAACAACAACAAAAAATTAATATATATAATATGAAGAATATTATACAAGAAATATAATAAAAAAATATTACTTAAAATGTTATAAAAATATGTGATAATAATAAAAAAGAAATCAGAAGTGGCAGCTAATAATAATCTGGAATATCAATTTCTTGATCGATGGCTTAATTAACGTAGCTTTCCAAGTGATTTAAATTTCGTTCAGTTTCATTGTTTTTCGGCGGAATGCAACGAATTTGATGTAAATATCTTTGGCACGCCGACGTCCACGTTCTTCGAGGACATTCCTGATCTACATTTCACGACAATTTCGGCGCAGTTCTAGAAAGATCTAGACCAGTTCTGCCATTACCCCATTCTTTTATGGTTCACCCATGACGTGACGTCAAGAGCTATCCGCGGAACTCGTGGTGTTGCCCGTAATATCTAAAATTAATGTAAACATTCGAAACGCGGCGGACGATGATACTTCGCGCCGCCGTAGGAAACTGTAACGTAGAAGCGCTAATTTTAACGATGTTCAAGGCCACGATGGCCAAAGAGCTGTGGCGACTCTTCCTCTCTTTTTCTTGAAAAGCTTCTGCTTTTGACCTATATCTTCCGCTGCAAACTACGCCAGCGAAATAGCAAGCTATACAATCATCATGTCGAATCTTGTTGAGTGCAGTTAAAACGTGACGTGCGTCATGTACGAGAATAGTACATACTAATCGCAATCAAAAAGAGAGAGAGAGAGAGAGACACCGCGCTTGTTTTAAGCGCGGGAACTAATCGGATTGGCGCCGAATAAAACCGATGAAAGATTCAACGGTGCACGTTCAGGGACGAGGGAAGTCGAGGCGTGCCGGAAAAACCTTCTCCTTCGATCGCGTAACACCGACCTTTTTATTCATGCAGCGTAATCGTGTTGCCGCAAAATCACGTTGCTTCAACGACACGCGACGAAGTAAATGTGTTTCAACGATCGTCAGTTTTGGTCGCTAAAATCCGCATTCGTAACGCAGAGAAACTTTTCTCGCAACGTCTTCTCCGTTGGAATTATTTACCGATTTATCATATCGCTCGCCTTGATCCGTGCATATCGCTGAGTGTTACATAAAAAGTGTACTAACTTTAGAAATCTTGCAAAATAAGTTGCCGTATCAGAATTTCTTTTAGATTCGAGAGACTCGTTCGAGAGACTTTATTAATCCTGATCGATTCGGATAAAAGGCGGGAGCTTCAATTAATTTTCTTCGCAGCGTTCCTTCCGACGCGAAAGAAGAAGCGAGAGAAAAATGCGGAAGCGATTCGATCTTACGCAATACCACTAAGCGCGATATCTTTTCACGGAGCTTCGTCGGGATTAACGAAGCATTTGTTAACGCCGTGAGGCTATTAACGGGATGATATTTCCTCAATGGCGTGATGCTTGTTATTCGTTCACCAGTCTGATCGACCCAATTATTCACCACGAGCAACGGCAATTAACCCTGCGGTTACGATACGCGACTTTATCGTAGCCGTACATATCTGAGCTGTGTGCGTAGGCGCTAAAAATATTCGCCGGAAGAGCCGAAAGTCCGTCAATTCGCGGGTGCGCTCCTCTTCCGACGGGCGAGTTCCGGCGCCCTTGGTCGAACGCGCCGTCGTCGTGCGATATCATCATTCATATCTGTTCATATCTCTCTGTGTCATTGACGGAGGGGAGGGCTTCGTCCGCTTCATTGTCGCATTCGCGCACGTAGTAACAGTAGCCGTATCGTAACAGTAGTAGCGTATCATCGGGTCACGTTCCTCGGTCCGCTCTATTAAACGCGGCGACGCTCGACCGCCTTGACGCGGCCGGAATCACGATTCACGGCGTCCGGATCTTCCGGCGTCGCAAGAAGACGATCGTTGCGGTCGTACCTGATCCCGTTGCGCGATATCGATGCTCTTTCTCTCCTCTGTCCGCTCTTTCTTTCTCTATCTCTATCTCTCTCTCTCTTTCTCCCTTTCTCTCTCTCTTTCCCGTGAATTCTCTTCACGAGCGGACAGACGGACGACACGTTTTCCGCGGATGCAACGCGTGGCACTGAACGCGCGGCGCAAGGCAGCGAAACGCGCGCTGCATGCGAATAATGTTTTTATCCGAGTCTCGCGAGTCTGGCGATACCTCGCGATACGAAGTTGAATCTTGGCGCGTTATTCGCTCATTCGTTCGTTCATCCGTCTGCTCGTTCGCGGCAATCGCGCGAATTTTACGCATCACATTTTGAGACACGCTGATATCAGGGCAGAAAACGGAAGTCTCATCTGCTAATTAACTCGTATTATTCGCGTTGACAACAAACGATCACGAATACGAAGTCAAACGGAAAATATGGAGATCGTCATCCACACGCGAGCTCTATAAGTCCCAAGGAAAATGCAGATGCAATCTACAAACGACGCGGCATTCAACGCAATCGAGCGTCGAGTGTTAATTAGCGCGGCAAATAATACTCGCGTCGAAATAATAAATACTGTTTTTCTTTTGCAACTGTAAAATTATTTCACATAACTGCCTCTGTATCTCGTACATCGCGCAGAAATACACGGGAATTCGAACAACAGTGGCATTCAGTGCTAAATGCGCGCTGAGAGCGTCCCTCGAAATCGGGGACGATTCTGTGGTTTGCGGTGCTCTACTACACTATGCTCTATAACAAAATTATAGCAGAACGCAATCGGTTGTATTCAAGTACATTTGTAACATTCATGATAAAAAAAAGAGATAACAAACGACACTCAAAGATATAATAAATTAATAAGTTGAAAAATTATTAGAAAGTTCTCTCTTCGAAATATCTCTGACATTCGATTCCCTTAATTTCTCTCCTTTTTATTTTTATCCGGTCCTTCATATCGCTTTATCATTCTTTATCTGCATCCCAGGATTAAATTAAATAACGTGATCCTAAGGGACTCTAATAAATAGATCTCACTTGCTCTTCTCCACATTTTTAAAAACATTTTCAATTTTTTATTTCATCGGTAATAGATATCCAAATATTGTTACAAAAGTGTGAGTATTATTATAATATTATAACAAAAGAATCGTCTTTTTCGGAGTCGCAAATATTGTTTTGTATTTGCGATAGAGCATAAAAAGTTGAGAACAAGAATATCGTGGATCTTAAGTCGCGACCCGAATCTCGATCTCTGCGTACGCACTACGCCCGAGGATATTCGTCATTCACTCCGCGGACGACGCGCCCCCGATTTCAAACAATGAGCTTACAGAGCACGAGCGTTTAGCTTTCATTAACAAACTTGCGAAAACACGGTCGCGTGGCGCGATACGGCGTGATCTGTTATCTCTTCGTAAGCACTGATTATCACGTAATAGTAACACCGGCGTCAGTAAATACAGTAA